GGATTCTGTAGATATCTCAGGTCTTAGGATCCAATCATGGAACCGTCATATGAGATTCAAGTCATGACACAAGTCCAAGTGACAATCTAATGCAGGTCAATCCAGTATTCCGTTCTCCAACGAATACCTATGATCGTGATCGTATCCAATACCTATGATCATCTATATGATCATCAATCACACATCATACTAGTCTTAGTATATCATTATTCCCACAATGATACATGACTAGGGAGTTTAGTATTGTTCATAACAATACATGGATTCCATAATATATCTAGTATGCAAAATAAATAATGAATCAAACACTCATCCATAAATCATAGAAAGCGTCAATACATCAAATGTATCCAAGTAAAGCTCGCAAACAGTACATCATAGAGTACTAACCAACAATCTCCCACTTGCTTTAATCATGGACTGCTAAACATCTAATGCCCATATCCCTAACATGACCCTCATGCTTCGACGAAGAGAGAGGCTTCGTCAACGGATCGGAAATGTTGTCATCTGTCGACACTCTGCAAATGTGCACGTCTCCTCGTTCTATGATCATCCTGATAAGGTGAAATCGTCTGAGTATGTGTTTGGATCGTTGATGGGATCTGGTTTCTTTCGCTTGCGCGATTGCTCCATTGTTGTCATAGTACAGAGCAATGGGGCTATCAGCACTAGGAATGACACCCAAGTCGTCAACAAACTTCCTGATCCAAACAGCTTCTTTTGCTGCGTCCGACGCTGTAATATACTCAGCTTCTGTAGTAGAATCTGCAACGGTCGCTTGCTTAGAACTCTTCCAGCTAACAGCGCCTCCGTTCAAGCAGAAAACATAGCCAGACTGCGATCTGTAGTCATCCGGGTCTGACTGGAAACTAGCATCGGTGTAACCCTTTACAGCGAACTCGTCTTCCGACCCACCGTATACCAAGAACACATCCTTAGTCCTTCTCAAGTACTTCAGGATGTTTTTTACGGCGATCCAGTGTGACTCTCCTGGATCTGACTGATATCTATCGTAATGCTCAATGCGTAGGATACATCCGGTCGAGTACAAAGCATGGCATACATGATCGATCCAATTTCCGAAGCATATGGAATCTGATCCATGCGTTCTCGCTCATCAGGTGTCATAGGACACTGAATCTTGCAGAGAACTGTGCCTCTGCTCATCGGTAAGGTTCCTTTCTTAGAATCTTGCATCTGGAACCGTTTCAAGACCTTATCGATGTAGGTACTCTGACTCAATCCTAGAAGTCGCCTCGATCTATCTCTATAGATCTTTATGTCTAGAATATAGGCCGCTTCTCCTAGGTCCTTCATAGAAAACTGCATTCCTAGCCAAGACTTTACGTCTTGTAAGGTAGGAACGTCATTCCCTATTAGGAGAATGCCATCCACATACAGCACTAGAAATATAACTGTGCTCCCACTAGCCTTCTTGTAAACACATGGCTCGTCTTCGTTCTGTGGAAAACCAAACCTTTTGATTGTCTCGTCAAAACGAAGGTTCCAGCTCCTCGAAGCCTGCTTCAGTCCATAAATGGACCTCTGAAGCTTGCACACCATCATCGGGTTCCTCGGATCGACAAAACCTTCGGGTTGTGTCATGTACACATCCTCGGTCAAGTTCCCGTTAAGGAACGCGGTCTTGACATCCATTTGCCATATCTCATAGTCGTAATATGCGGCTATAACAAGTAGGATCCTGATGGACTTCGGCATAACTACGGGCGAAAAGGTCTCATCATAGTCAATACAATGAATTTGACGGAATCTTTTCGCCACAAGTCGTGCCTTATACGTGTGCACGTTGCCATCCATGTCGGTCTTCTTCTTGAAGATCCACTTGCATCCGATGGGTTTTATCCCTTCAAATACATCAACTAGAGTCCATACTTGGTTGTCTGACATGGATTGCATCTCGGACTTCATAGCCTCGCGCCATTTCTCGGAATCCGGATTCGCCATAGCCTCTGGGTATGTGGTAGGCTCATCATGTTCCAATAACATGAGCTCCTCATTCCCAGTCACGAGAAATCCGTATCTCACAGGCTCTTGGTGAATCCTGCCTGATCTCCGAGGTTCACTCTCGAAGGTTGAGTCACAACCGGCAGTGAAACAAGTTGAACTTCTTCAACTTATTCACTCGGTTCAACGTCTACTTCCTGCTCTCGATCTTCCTCAAGTTCGATCCTACTCCCACTGACTCTTTTGGAGATGAACTCTCGCTCCATAAAAGTCGCATTCCTGGCAATGAACACCTTGTTCTCTGCCGGAATATAGAAGTAGTAACCCTTAGTTTCCTTAGGGTAGCCTACAAATAATTACTTATCAGATTTGGAGGATAACTTATCAGTCATCTGACGCTTCACGTAAGCGTCGCAACCCCAAATTCTGACAAAGACAACGTGGGACGCTTCCCCGTCCATATCTCATATGACGTCGTTTCAGCCGATTTCATTGGACTCTTGTTGTCTCTAAAGCATAGCCCCAAAAGGACTTCGGAAGATCTGTCTGACTCATCATCAACTGAACCATGTCTAACAGTGCTCGATTCCTCTGTTCAGACACGTTCTACTGTGGCGTTCCAGGAGGAGTTAATTGTGATACAATACCACAATCAACCAGATAGTTAGAGAACTCTTGGCTCATATACTCGCCGCCACGATCTGATCGAAGTGTTTTGATCGTCTTGCCAAGCTGGTTTTGTACTTCATTTCTGAAAGCCTTGAACATTTCAAGTGTTTCACACTTATGTCTCATCAAATAGACATAACCGTATCGACTGAAATAATCAGTGAACGTAACAAAATACAAATAACCTCCTCTAGCTAGACAACTCATTGGTCCGCATACATCACTATGTATCAGGTCCAATAACTATGTCGCTCTCTGTCCTTTCCCCGTGAAAGGATGCTTCGTCATCTTACCCATTAAACAAGACTCGCAAGATTCAAGAGACTCAAAGTCAAATGAATCCAGAAGACCTTTAGAATGAAGTTTCTGAATGCGCTTCTCGTTTATATGGCCTAGACGACAATGCCAGAGGAAGGTCGGGTTTAAGTCGTTCGGCTTACACCGTTTAGTACTCACGTTATAGATGGACGATGTCGAGTTCGAAGGCTGACCATTCAAGACGT